TCCGATTTCAAACCTCCACTGCCTTGTGGCTATATCCACCGATGGAAAAGGCTTCAGGAGTTAACCTCGAGGCAAAATCCGGAGCTGGAGTCCCGAAGGCAGCTCGTGTCGTTCTGCCAACTCCTGCGACGTTGCTGGAACCAGTCGTATTGGCTCTTGCCTTTCCATTGGACCATTTCAGCAACGTGGAGAGGGGGGATTTGCTGCTTGGGTAACAGCCTATCCTCCATATTACCTTACCCGGGCTTCATGCTCTGGAGAGGACACTCCTCGATTCAGAGCATGTTACCATAGTCTCTCGAGACTGAAGGATGCCTATGATTCATCATTCATCAATCATCATCAACTTTACTGGGAATTTGGGGAGGGATTTCAGATAGCTTAAGCTACTTCTTCGGAAGGGCTTAATTTAATTTCAAATTCAAATCAATCAAACCTTTTTTTCCCCTAGAGGCTTGTGTGTGTATGTGTGTGTATCATCTGGTGGAGGGGGGAAAATGTCATCGTGTGACTGTGGAATTTCTTTTCCTTATATTCAGTTTCAAAAGTTCATTTTAGGGAAGCTTGTGTCTCTCAGGGAATTTGGTGGGTGGTTGGATCCATCATTCCTTTTTCTTCCAAAACTTATTTGGATGTGTGTGTGTATGTGTCTCTGAAACTTAGCTGGCAGGGCTTTTCTTTTTGGTCTTTTCTTTTTGGTCTTTTTTGGCTTCTCTGCCACAGTGGTTCGGGGGAAAATTTTCCTAATTACATTATACTGAGGGGGGGCTTTGTTTAGGCAGGCAGGTCACATTTTAGTAAAAGAATTACACCACCATCATTCTAAAAATAAAATTTATATATACTCTCTGACCCTCTATTAGTTTCCTTCCTCAATCTCCATTGCTTTATTTGTTTAGTTGGTTTGTTAGGTAGGCAGTAGAAAATGAAGGGGTTTCTTCAGGGGCAATACAAGGGGAAGAAGCCTGTGAATCTATGCAGGCTAGGTAGCAGCACCGTCATCATGGCCACCATGTGCACAACCACGTCTATGATAACCAGTGCCACTGTCCCTCCTCTGGTGGCCTTGCAGGCATGCATGGAACCAAAGCTTCCAGAGGTGCCCAAAGAACTGCTGCTCCTCTTCCTAGAGGAATCTGAGGAGTTACCGGTTTCTGAAGATCCTCAGTACAGTTTGGAACCAGTAACGGCAGGGCAGGCTTCACAGCCCCCCCATCCCCAGAGTCATCTGTTCCCTCCTCCCAGACCAGCAGCACCCTTGGGACACAGGCCAGCAGTCAGGGGCAGGCAGTGGGTCCTCATTTGGGCAAACATGGCAGTGGGGCCATGTGGGATCATTTCACAGTGCTCAGTGATGACCCACGGCTGGCACTTCAATACCTGCCTTGGGGTGGTTTGGAGGGGGTCAGATCCCAGGCATCTATCCTCCACTGCCCTCTGCCAACATCTGGAGAGGAACCACCCAAGGCTTCTGTCCAGGGAAGGCACTTCGTCCATGCCGTCTGGGAGAGGGAAAAGAGCAGCTCCAGGGGAGGCAGGAGGAGGTGCCTTCGACTTTGTGAGGGAGGTGGTCCGTGACCATTTTTCACAGCTACAGGGGCGCAAGGTGCACTTCACAGGGGACCTGTGAAGCAGAGGTCAGCACGGCTACCTCTCGCGCACAGCCCACTGGTGGCAGCCAGAGGACCTGAGTGGTGGCAGGGAATCGGTGACAGGGCCACAGGGGGAGGCCCTTGCGCTGCCCCCAGGGTACAGGTCCATTCTGCTGCAGGCGCGGTGCATGGAAACTCAGGTGACAGGGAGGAACATCGCCAATGAGTTCCTGTCCACGCTGCAAGAGTGGGCACTGGAGGGGGAGGTGACCCATGGCCACATGATGACAGATGCTGGGTGGAACATGTTGGCGGCATTGAATGCGGTGGGCTTTGAGGGCATCATATGCATGGCGCACAAATTATACCGCCTGGTGGAGCAGAAGGCTGTTTTGAAGGACATGTCCTCTGTGCCCATTCTGCCCAGGGGGGAGAGAGGTGGGCATCAGTGCCATGGATTGGCTGGCCCTCTCCCAGATGGTGGAGGTGCTCAAGCCCTTCCTGGAAACCACGGACATCTTGCGTGGTTATACGGCAAGCCTGGGGCAGGTCATCTCTGATTCATGCCCTGATTCATCCCCCTGATTTGGTCCCTGGAGACTGCTGTGGCACCAGAATCCTCCCTCCTTCCACAAACCAGGGCTTTGGTGAAGAGGTTGCAGGCAGGCATGCTAAAATGACTCCATCCTGTCTACAGCCATAGAGCTTACCGCATGGCCTGCCTGTGTGATCCTCGAATCAAGGGGTGCTTGGCAGCATGCACTTCAGACCTCAAGGAGTGGAGAACTGGGGCCGTTTGGGGCTCAATGGTTGCGTGGGGGGCCAGGAACGTCAGGCCACAAGGGGCAGGGTGATTTGCCCTATCCACAGGGAAGGACTTCAACAGTTGAAGGCTCCATTCACCACCAGTATTATTGGAGTTCTGTGGTGACCTTGCCACTTGCCTCAGAGGAATGACAGCTGGCTGAGGAGAATTCTGCAAAGATAGTGGTGCGGGAATATCTGGCTGAGCCCCCTCAGACCCACCAGTCAGATTCACTCCATTACTGGGCTAGGAAACTTGTCATATGGCCAGAGTTGTCCAATGTGGTCATAGACCTCCTTTCCATCGTAACCACCACCAGCGTCCAGAGCAAGTGCATGTTTTCCCATCTCGGAGACATACTCTGACCACGCTGCTCACGTTTGGATCCCCTTACTGTGGAGAGACTATCATTCATCAAGGTGAACCTTCCCTTGTTGGGCTTCCCCTCACTGAACCCAAAGAGGTAGGGTTTCAATGACAGTTTCTCCCTTAACACACTGCCTGCCTGCTTGTGCCTGCCTCCCTGTCCACCCCCCAGTCCTCCTGAAAAAAAAAGACCTGCCTACTTGCCTGCTGGCCTGCAACCCTGCTCCTCAGTCAGAACTCCAGCTGCCAATTCCAGTCACCTCCTCGGGCCACGTTCCGACCAAGTCATACCTGCCTGCCTGCTAGATCAAGTTAGACCAGCAGGCTGAGAACTGTTGAACTCCTGCCCAATGCGGCCAAAAAAGGGCTGCTTTCCTGCTGCCTTTTCCCTCAGTGCCAGATGGAGCCAAAAAAGCCTGCTGTGCTGCCAAATACCTCCTTGCCTCCAGTCCTCCTGAGGGCAAACTCTACTTCACTGGCAAATGTAATGTTGAGCTGAGCTGAAGACAAACTTGATGCCTTATGCATGCCTCTGCCAAAGGGACCTCTCATTCTGCTGGTGCTAAATATACCTCCCTCAATGCCATGGACTTCTGTGCCATGTGGTAAACTCTCCTGGGGGGATCCAATTTGTGGGTGAATAACTCGGAATTCCAATATCCACTCTTCACCAAAGTTGGCAGGCATGTTGGGGAAAGACATAGGAAGCTCGGTTGTGATTCTGGAGTCTCTAAGTACTTGGGGGGAGCTTTCCTGGGGTGTCGTCTTTGTGACTATACAACTCAGGGGTCTGTGATCCAATGTTTGCCAGACATTCTGGAGTTGTAGAAATATGTCTGAGGAAGCTTTCCCACAAATTTGGTATCTCTAGGTCATTGGGGGTCAGTGGTATAGCTGTTTAAAGTGCAAATGAATTGACGGATCGATTCGTCGATTCATCGAAGAATGTTTGTATTTGTTGCTTCATTAACTGTGACAAATAACAGATCAAAACAAAACGCCATTTTTAAAATTCATCCCCATCTCTACTGTAGAGCATCTACAACACATAAACCTACTTGTGGTTTTAACTGTTTCACTAGCCCTTCCAAGGTCCTACTAATATTACTTTTTTCATAAAAACTTTTTTTTATCAATTTACTATTCTTGTATTTAATTTCATACTTTTACTGGGACTTTGTTTGTATTATCCTTGCCCCGTTTCCTTTACAAAACCCAATAATTGCCTTTGAATGGGTATGTGAGATTTGTATTTTGATTCTTATGTTCCATTGGCTAAATGATCCTGCTTTCAAGTCACAGAATATGCTGTTTCTGTTGCCTTCACAAACTTGATGATTCTATCAAGTGTTATTTTAATTTGGTTGTAGAAAATTTCCTTTACCAACAGGAAATATGCGCTTAAAAATCTTACACTGCATCAAGTATGGTTGTATGAATCATTTGATTCGGTGTGTGGCTAAATTATACCAGAGATAAATCCTGTTAAGTAGGGACAGGAAAAAAAATATTTTTATAAAAGAATGAATCTTCTTTTGTTAATGCCAGGAAAGTTAGTCTTTGAACCCAAGTCCCAAATCTTTGGTACTGAGTTCCAAGTCCGGGGTCTTAGGTCCAAATCCCAAGCTGATGGAGGCTGGGAGGGGATATGTACATGTGCATACGCAGAAGCAGCAGTTCTGGCTTTTCTTTCCTGGAGCAGTCCTTTGATTCTGCACATGCTCAAAAACAGTGGGCCTGATCTCTGCCCCCCTGCTGCCTACCTGCCACTGCCACACCCCTGCCCCAACTGCCACCCCCATCCCCACTGCCTACCTGCTGCTGCCACACAGCACTGTCCTCAGAAGCAAGCAGTAAGCTCAGCTTCCCTTCCGTGAGCAAAGGCTGCAGCTTCTGAGCATGCTCAGAAGCAGGAGCCAAATGTGCCACTTCTGGGCATGTTCAGAAGTCTGAACATGCCCAGAAGTGGTGGACCTGGCTCCTAGAAGGTAAATTGCCATCTTATTCACCTGCTGTAAAATAATATTACATAGCCTTTCACTACATTGTCATTCCTTGCTTTCCCTTACTTTGTTTCTGTATGTCATATAAATTAAATTATCTCTAGTTTTGCCTCCTCTGAACATCTTCTTAAGGAGAACACACTCTAGTGGGTCTGCAAACTCAGGCAAGCTGCTCCTCAAGAAAGCAGATGATAATATTGTTACTTCTCAAAGGTTTTTATAAAAAAATACGTTTGTCCAACCTTTTTTGCTAAATCAAATTTGGGAGAGACACAAGTTGGCTGAAATGTTATTGCTTACCTTAGTAAGTTGCACTAGAGTAGGCCTATTGTATCATCAAGAAATTGTTGAGTAAACTCCTCAGTAGTTTCTTTTGATTCACATGGGCCTACTCCAGTTGCAACTTAGTTTAATGTAGTAAGACATAGGTAGAGTAGACCCATGTGAATCAATGGAATGTGTGGCGGAGCTGACTCACCAAATCTCACCAATTCAATTGGACTACTTTACTGTTACTTACAAGGCTGAGCAACAGGATTTCAAACATTGTTTTAGAGGAGAACTGCACCCCTACAAGCCATGACTCCTCCATCTGGGGAACATTATTTTTTAAACAGGGGAGTCCACCCGGGGGGGGGGGCTGCAAGGACTATTATAAACAGCTTTAGAAGCCACATGATTTCCCAATATTGAGAGCTGTGGTTGGTTGAGAAAATTCAGACCAACCATTTAAGTACAAGTAAGTCTATTTAGAAGTTCATTTTCTTTTTCAATAGATCAATTTTCACAAATTAATTAAATTTGATTTGTTTGTTTTTTTCTAAGCAGACTGAACATTGGTTTGTAAAAGTTTAATATAAGTGCCATTATCAAAATGCACTCTTCTGAATTTTTAGAGAATTATGTTCAATCACATTGGAGATGGCGCTTTGCCTCGCAGTGATCCTAATCTGTCTGGTCCAGAGAAAGGTAAGTATTTAATTTACTCAGTATGATAGTTATATGATGCTCTGAAATAGATAGCCAATAACAAAACTTAGCTGTCAAAGTAAAATATATGTGCCTAATAGATATATTATGCCTGATGCCCCCTGAAAGTCCTAAGGCCCTTGGCGAAGCTGCTGGAGCCTGTAGGATAGAGGAAAGCTTTACTTTCTGAAAATCAGTACCTCTGGTAAAGTTATCCTGGTGACAGCAGATAGGAAATGTTTTGTTTCCAAAAAATTGCTGTGGCTAACCAACCCTATTCAGTATAGCTGCATGAACAGGATTTCAGTCAGTACATATATATATGGTATATATAAAAGAAGCAACTTGATAGCCTGTAATAATAATGATCAGTAGCACTGCCTATATTTTTATATGGGACACCATATATATATAAAATATAGGCAGTGCTACTGATCATTATTATTACAGGCTATCAAGTTGCTTCTTATTTAAGAGAATCCTATAAATCAAATTCTTTAGTAATCATTATTTTGGTCTTCTTCAGTGTCTGTAACTAATTCCTATTTTTCCACTTTTTTTTGTTATTTCTCCATGTTCTTCCTAAGAGCAGCTCTTGTCCGGACTATAAGTTACACATGGAGACAATAAAATTTTGTAGCATGCTCATTTCTTTTCGAACAATCCATAGTTTATCATGACCCATGGTGTCAAAGGCTTTACTGTAATCTATAAACGGCAAACTGATAATCTTATTAAATTATTTGATATGTTCCTAATATTTGCAAAATGATCTCTAGTACTTCTTCCTTTTCAGAAGTCAGCTTGAAAGCTTACTCCCATAACATCTGATGGCTCACTCTGTAAAATGTTTGTTAAAAAATCTTGAGCATCTCTTTACTTGTACAAGAAGCAAATATGAGAGTCCTACAATTATTGCAGCGGTGTCTCCTTTCTTTGAAATTCGATCATATTGAATGTCTCCTATCTGTAGGTCATTGCTTTGTTTTCCTTTTTTGGTCAGCTTGAAAGCTTACTCCCATAACATCTGATGGCTCACTCTGTAAAATGTTTGTTAAAAAATCTTGAGCATCTCTTTACTTGTACAAGAAGCAAATATGAGAGTCCTACAATTATTGCAGCGGTGTCTCCTTTCTTTGAAATTCGATCATATTGAATGTCTCCTATCTGTAGGTCATTGCTTTGTTTTCCTTTTTTGGGGGGGGGGTGTCTTATTCTTGTTAGGACTTCAATGAATTCAGCCTTTGTAGTTTGAAATAGCTATTTTGGAATCTTTTGCCCTTGAAGATTTAGTGCTTTGAGAGAAGGTTTCATGTCACTTTCTAAAATTACAGGTGCTTTATCAAAAGAGTCTTCTTTGAAGGAATCTGTCATCTTATACTCTCTTCTGTACTCTTCTGCATTACTCTTTCCATTTTCTCTTATTTTCTCTTGAGCAGATAACATATTTCCCTGTTGTATCTAGGTCTAAATTTCTCTTTGTTTTCTTGGATCTTGCAGAAAGAATCTCTTATTTTATTTTCTGATTGTCCTCTTCTGTTTCTTTGCAGTGGATCATTGTTCTCTTTGCCCTTATGTACAAGTTGCTGTAGAAGTGCGTTTAGGATTCTAACCCTATTTCTATCACATTGTACTTTTGCTTCTCATCTCTAACAAGTTTGAGTCTAATCAGTCATCCCTCAAGGTTTTTCTTTTCTTCTAAATTATAGGAACAGTCTTCTTTTTTTTTCTCATTCTCTCCTGAAAATATCCCTGCTCTTAATCATAGTTCTGGTTTGCTGTCAGTTGAATTTGGTAATACAAATTTACCCTTCAGGTTTTTCAGAGATGTTACTTAAATTAAATGTTGGCAGTAATTCCTGAGGAAGATGGCTGCATTTTAACCTGTTATCTCAACTGTGATCATTTCTCCTTGGGTAACCCAAGACTTGTAATGAAGCCTAGCCTCCTGACAATATTGCTTTTAGCTTTTATTGCATATTCAAGCTGCCTCCAATAAACTGTATAGAAGCCAGATGTTTTAGGTTGACAGCCTAGAATATTAATGCCCATTTTGCCATTATTTTGCAGCTGTAAATAGCACTCCAAGCAGTTGGAGCCTGGACAGTGGAAAGGAAGCCAGGAACATGTCAGAGAGTGGGAAACTTATATCTCCTCCTGTGCCACCACGCCCCACACAAACAGGTATGGCCATATATTATAATCTTTCTTTTTGAGTGTCCATGGCCTATGTGAATAGTTTGCTACAAGCTGAATCCTGCTGAGCTTTATTCTTTGGCTTGCTATTATCAACCCACATAGAAGATCATTTAAACCTGTGAGGCCCATATATATAAGATTCAACTGACAAGAACTGAGGACATGGAGTCCCACCATGATGACAATGTATAACAGCTAATTACCGTTTGTTCCTGTCCCAATAGAATGACCAATGAGTAGAGGAGGAGGCAGGCAAGCAAAGAGGGAGCACTATGTTGGGTGGGACTAGGAATGGGATTGAACTGATAGTGGAATTACCTCTACAGGTGGAAGTATTTCAGACTCTCCAAGATCTAGGAGCTGGTGTTTTCTGCAGAGCATGGATGTAACACATCGGAACTAGTGGCATTAACTTGTTAAGCGTTACTTATTTTTTTAATACTGAGAGCACAGATGCTCTTTTGACAGATTATGCAATTATGGGTAAATTCTTCTCATGTAGTAAGGGCAGTGTAATTCAAAATGAGGCCCAGTTGAATCTAAATGTAACCCAGAAACTACATCTTCTATGGTCCTTGACTTTAATAGCTACTTCACATAGGGCCTCTCCCATTTCTTTTGCATAATCAACTTTAGAGAAGAAAGAATCTAGTGATTCATGCTGGCAAATTAATTAGAAGTCAGTCCCAACATTTAGAGAGAATTGGGTTCTTATTGTCTAAACTGTGGGAATAGATTTCAAAAGTTCCTCAATTCTGAATTTTACAATGTTTGTTGGACCTGCCCCGCCATACAAAACTTGCTGTTTCAGCTGTATCCCATGATGATATCTGTTTCAAGCCTTAAGACCATACTTTTGGGTCTGTTGGTTATTGCAGACAACCAATTGTTAATTATTTTTGTCACTAAGTTAAGTTTGCTAAGGCAGGCTTAATTGTTCTGTTCACTTATTTCTACTATCTTGTGGTGTTTTTTTCTGTTTTTGTCTATGGCTAGCAATTAATTTGGGATAGGAAAAGCAGCATTCCTTATTGACATAAACAGGGAGAGCATAATCTGTTACTGAGAAGGTTGCATCAACTAGAGCCAAGTTTGTTGTACAGTTTTTAACTATCATATCATTGAAATATTTAAGTTAGGGTATCTGTCTCTCTTTCTGTAGCCTTCTTCAACCTGTTGGCCTCCAGATGTTTGGGACTTCAGCTCCCATTATTTGTCACAACACTAGACATGTTAGCTGGGGGCATTGTAGTCAAAAGCAACCGGGGCAATGCTGATCTAGATATATGATCTTTTCTTCTTGCAAGAATGTTCATTTAAAACTTCATTGTTCTGTTAAAATCAAGTCACACTTTTTTTTTTTTCACAGCATCACCAGCTCGGCACATAACCTCTGTTTCCCCGTCTCCTGCTGGAAGATCTCCAATGAAGGTACTGGTCTGTCCTGTGCAGATTTCGAAGCATAGCTTGTGTTGTCTGTTCTTCTCTTTTTAATATAGGTGTTATTCTTCTTATAATATGGATGTTCACTTGACGCGCATACTGACACACAATGCATCCATAGAAGCCAGTAGCTTCTGTGCATTCAGAACAGAAGTCTCTCAACCTTGAATGAATGTATGTATGGATTTGTGCTGTGTGGGGCGCGCGGGAGGAATTAGTAGCATATCCATGGAAATTCCCAAATTTCAAAAGCTTGTAAAATCGATGGCTGATGCTCAGAAAAGGGATAGCTAAATTCCTATTAGATTAGTACAACTGAGGATAGTTTCAGAACCTTCTACATAGAGCTGCTGTGGTGAAAAATAAGCAACGGTGCCCTATACAAATGTGAAATCTGGCCCATATTCCCTTTTGATGTAATGTAGTCACCGGAAGTTTTTTCTTCTTTTTAAAGTTTCATGAGATAAACATTTCTCATGAACATTACCCATGTTGTGACAACCTCTGTTGTACTGTGGCATGGAAAAAAGACTTGAAAACAAATTGGCTTTCTTTTGCGTTTAGTAACACCAGCTGAAGGCATATAGAGGCACATTTCATAAAAAATCTAGTGAACCAGTATTAGCCTTCTTTTTGGCTGGAGGGAAATCTGGCTAGCAGTAATAAATCTTTTAAAGGCCTAAGCCTTACTGCTGATTGTTTCTTCAGCAAAGAATATCAGAAATTGTATTGCTCTCTCGACACCTGCAGTTACAAAGCCATTTATCAAATAGAAAAGAAAAGAAAAAAGTTGTGTGGTCCTTTTACACAATCCAAAAACAAGGGTGGGTGATAAGTACCCCTGTTTTCAGAATGCTATTTATTGCCTCATATGTCCATTTCACAGAAACACAGAAAGGTGGCCTTGTTCAAATCCTTGTTCAAAAAGATATGGAGACTATATTTTAGATATACAGTGGTGCCCCGCATAGCGACGTTAATCCGTTCCAGATTAATCGTCGCTATCCAGAATCGTCGCTAAACGGGACTAAAACCCCCATAGGAACGCATTAAACTTCGTTTAATGTGTTCCTATGGGGCCCAAACTCACCGCCCAGCAAAGAGCCTCCATAGCGTGCCATTTTTGCCGCCTCGGTAAGCGAGGGCAGCGTGCGAAAATGCTTGCGGCAGCCATTTTGGGCACCCGGTGGCCATTTTGGAACCGCTGATGAGCTGTGCTAAAAACAGCGCAATGCAAAGATCGGTAAGCGAAACGCTTACCGATCATCGCCATGCGATGTTTGCCCATTCAGAACATCGCAATGCGATCGCATTAGCGATCCCCAAAAATAGATTGCTATGCGGATTCGTCGTTAAACGGTGCGCTCGTTATGCGAGGCACCACTGTACAGTACTTTCAATTGGCACAAAATCAGCTTACACTAATCACCCACTTGTTTAATGTGGATCTGCTAGGTGATAATTTTGTGATAACTGAAAGCACTAGTTCTTTCAGTGCCAAAAGTTATATGATCCCAACTTAATCTAAAAGAGTTCTATTTAAATGTGAAGTTCAGTATCTTTAATAGCAATGTGATTGAGGATGCTTACCTATTGCAGAATTCACCCTTTCTATGTATGTATTTATATCTGCATGTCATCCTCCTTTCAAGGAATTTTGCACTGGCTGAGCTTCCAAGTTAGCTCAGCAGAGAACATATTGCAGCTGTTCAAATGCAATAAACAGGTATTATACCATGCTAGTTCTCAGTGTTTTAACAGTAGTACGGTGGTGCCCCGCAATATGACGACCCCACAGTGTGACGAAACCGCAGTACGGCGCAAAACGATGGTTCCTATGGGGGAAATCCGCTTTACGATGATTAGGTCCTTGCTTCGCGAACCGTTTGTTCACTAAACGACGATTTTTCCGGCTCTGCAAAATGGCTTCCCTTCACAAAATGGCTGGCTTCCCTTCGCAAAATGAGTGTTTTCCGGACAGAAGCTTCGCAAGACAGGGATTTTAAACAGCTGATCAGCGGTTCTCTATGGGCGATCTTCGCTGGACGACGAAGTACTTCCCCACTGGAATGCATTAACCAGTTTTCAATGCATTCCAATGGGGACTATTTTTTGGAAGACAATGATTTTGCTGTACAGCAATTTTCCTGGAACGGATTATCGTCGTCATGCGGGGCACCACTGTATAGGAAAAGCAGAATACTTTTGTGCTTTTTATAATTGTTAAAAGTTGGGGTTCAAATTCAAGCGAGTCCTGCCTGATCCTATTATTTGTACTCTCTGGGAAGTCCAGTATACAGATTTTGAGGAGCACAGTTTTAAAAGCATATACATCTGTCATGTACTGTAAGTACTCATTTCTGACATTAGAGGGCACAATCTTACCACTTACACAGTATAATCTACTGGGTTTTGAAGCATTCTAGAGGTTTTGCACAGTTAATGAGTACATGATTGTAAACAGTAGCACTATTCAGGTTCTAGTTTTGAAACTATAAACTTTAAATCTTCATTTTTTTTAATTTATTGGCATTTGGAGAGCTGAATGCTACAAATTACCTGGGGTCAGAACTAGTATAAAAGAAGATTTAGCTGTAGTTTGGTATATCACTGGAAAGAACTAGCGCTTTCCCCCACCATTCCTTTGTATATTTTATGCACTTTTTTCTTCTCCGTTTTTGTTTTTAAACTCAGGGTTCAGTGCAATCGTTCACGCCATCTCCTGTGGACTACCATTCCTCAGGACTCATCTCCAACTCACCAGTCTTGTCAGGAAGTTACAGCAGTGGCATCTCCTCACTCAGCCGATGTAGCACATCGGAAATATCTGGCTTTGAAACTCAAACTAATGAGCACCCCTTATCTATTTCTAACTGCAACATTTCTGAAGAGCCAGTGAGAAAAGAAAGTAAGACTCCACCACCCTACAGTGTTTATGAACGGACATTGAGGCGCCCGGTCCCGCTACCTCACAGTCTTTCGATCCCCATTCCTATGGATCCACCAGCACTGCCACCCAAGCCCCTGTTGGTTCGACCGAACAATCTGGAAAGTAGTAGCAAGAGAACTGAGCAGGTCCCTCGGCCCAGGCCTCTTCCACGAAAAGTGTCTCAGTTATAAAGAAAAAGAAAAAGTCATTTTTGTAATGACAAGTGGAAAAAAACACATCTAAATATATAGGCACTTTAATATTTTTCACAAATATTCTTTCCAGTGATTTTTTAAAAGAAAAATGCTTAATATTATGTTGCACAATTTGTCAAATGAAAATACTAATCTAGAATGCAAGATGTTACAGGACCAGAAGACAAGACTGAAGGAATTACATTAGTATTAGACACAGCAAATATGGAGGCATACCAATTTGAATGAGAAACTCAATTTTTTTCCAAGTGTAGTTTAATCAAGACCGTACTTCCCCTCCACAACCTCATATTGGAAAGGCACTGTACTTTTGAGAGCATGCAGAATGTTACGGTTTAAAATAAGTATACTAAATAAGAGTCTGGTAATAAGTTACTGTCCACATGTTACACGCCTGTACCACATTTCAACTCATGAATTCATGTACGTGAACAAAAGCAATGATAATTCAAGTGATTATAATGCATTGGAAAATAGCAGAGATGTTATTGTAGCTGATTTCACAAAACAGAGTACGTGTTTTCAGTTCTTTTCTTTCTACTGACACCTTACTGCATTTTATTAAATGTATATGTATACATTTACCAATATTTTTCTTCTTTTTAATGCAATTTTCAGCACTTTGCTACTGATTTATCTACAAGACTCACACATTTTACCCAGAATTTTTCTATACAGCTAGGTTTTTAAAAACAAGTAATTCCCAAGGCTAGTTGGGGCCAAGTACCTGACATGAGAAGCTGGGGGGAACAAAGAAAAGAAATTAATCAGAACAAGAAATTAATCTTCAGATTTAATTTCTAATAGTGTTTAAGGGAGACTCAATACACAACCACTGTTTATTCTGGAAGATTAATAAATGCCAGGAATTAGAAGAAATCACTTTAAATACAAAGGGCATTAAATATTAGATTGAGCTCAAAAAGACTTTATAAATCCAGATTTTATCTCTGTTAATAAATTATTCTCCAATCAACCCTGCCCATTTGACAGCTTTTCCCTATGAAGACCTTCCATCATGTAGCATATAAAAGAAAGCTTAGTATCTGAGAAAAGGCAGGTACCTTTTTGTACAAGATCTACCATAACCAGTTTCTAACAGTCAGACATGTGGGATTGGTGGCTTTTGTTGGTTCTTCGCGGGACAGCTTCTCCTGCAATCTTTTGTACCCTTGATAGAAATAGGATTCAGAAAAATGCAGGATGCCCCAGGGCTTTAAAACTCACAAGAACAGGGTCTTCAGCTTTTTCCAGGTTCTGTGTGCTTTAAACCAGTGGTTCTTAACCTTAGGTTACTCGGGTGTTTTTGGACTGCAACTCCCAGAAGCCTTCACCACCAGCTGTGCTGGCTGGGGTTTCTGGGAGTTGCAGTTAAAAAACACCTGAGTAACCCAAGGTTAAGAACCACTGCTTTAAACAATGATGCAATGAATAATGGGATGGTCTTCTAGAAGCGCTGTCCAATTGCCTTTTGACACGTTGGCGTAACAGAAAGGGAATGGTGTAATGAGAAGGAACTTTGTAGATTTGACTTCTGCTGAGGCACATTCTGAGCTTCCCTCAAACAGAAGAACTGGAATATGAGCCCCATACATTTGACTGCCCTTTTCCCTCTCAAAAACAAGCATTCCTCCATTCTGCCGCTGTACATTCCACTCTCCAAATGTGAGAAACCTCAGGAATGTGAGGAGATGTGGTCTGAAGAAAAAGGGAAACACTTGTTCACAACTAAGAGCTGTCCCAATTAGCAGTGGCAGTCTGTGCAAGAATACTCTCTCTGGAAGTGCCCTTAACTCTTTCCGGATAATGTTCTAACGTTCTAGGTGGCTTTTCACTAGAAAGCTCCTGTAAACCTGTTTGAAAGCTTGTGAATGGTCCTAGGACTCTATAAACTAAAACAACTTATATTACTCCCCCTCCCTTGTTCTGTTTGTGACATCCGAAGTATGATCTGTCTTTTTCAGTCATACCATTGAAAGTTATCTCCCTGTTTTGTTGGGAAACTTGTGTTTATTTAACCGTACACTTTGTTAATAGCTTAACTGGAACGTAGTGACCACTTTTTATATTCATTCAATGAAACCTTCAGCAGGTATATGCTGTTAATGGTAGCTATAGAGGTTTTCTATAATAAATGTTCAAGTATTTTTGTACATAACTGGTTAATTTTAATAAGAAGTACAACTATGTGGAAAAAGAAGCAGCAAACGGTTGTGTATTCAGTAAGATTGTTATAATTATGCCAAATACTTTATGTACGTTGGGGGCCAAGGGGAAGAATATTTGTACATATGTGCTTTTAACAATTATGCCATATTGATTCTACAACTTCGAATGTCAGAAAAATATATTAATATATGTTGAAATATCTATGTTTAGCAGAAGTGTTTATAACTGGAAAAGGAGCATATGAATTTTAGCTTTGTACTTGCTGATTTTGAAGTCCTGAGATTTCTTGAATTAGCTTTCGCTTTTGATCATAACATTTTCATGTCTGCATAACCAGGTTTTTGAAGCTCTTAGCTACATATTTATGCTGTGGTTTGTTTTTTTAAAGAATATATTGTAATTTAAATAAAGTGACACAAACTGGATTAACAGATCCATGTTCATCCCTCCCCCCTTTACTTAGAGCTGAATCAGTGTGTTGGTTGGTACTTCAGCATAGTCCGAATCAGTGATCTTTGCTCAAGTCCGTTTTTAAAATATATTTGACAGTAAGCAAAATTTTTACTCATGTGCACGTATTACTGATGTCTGCGTGGCAGCAAAACATTTTAATGTAGTTAAATGTTTACAGATGGTGATGCTGGTTGCTGAAGAACCATAAGAACAAAATAAAATAGATTGATCTTCATTGTACAATTTTGTTTTCTAATGAATCCCCAGTCAGTTTGCCATAAAATTAAATCTTCTGATTCTTGATACAGCTTCCTTTCTGACTGAAGGTGATGATGGGGGAAAGCCCTTCGTTGAACTTTTCTTATTTATTTTATTTATTTATTTATTTATTTATTTACTTACTTACTTACTTATTTTCCTCCTTTCCTTCTCATAGCTCCTCTGTCTTCTTCAGCCAAACTGTATAGTACAGATAATTCTCTATTCGAGTTGAAATGCACATTAATCTTCAAGAAATGTGGTTCTTGTATCTTGTGACTGAGAAATCTGACTCTGAAGAATATGCTTATATCCTGAAGACCAATCATAGAATGAAATGGTCTAATTTGCAAATTAGAGTAAGTGACAAAATCATCCTCATGAGAGAATTACATACAAGTATCACTAAGGAATTCCCTCCTCCAGAGCTGGTCTCTCTGAAATATGTATAGTTAGCCCCTAAGACATTTGGTTGTCCAGTAAATGGAAAGGACAAAATGTCAAACTAGCATCTGACTGCTAGTGTAGCAGATGTTTCTACCTCTTCCCACACCCCACTAAGCTGCCCAAAGCAAGAGGCTTCGCCACTGCCTCTTAAGCTTCCAGCTCTTCAGAGCTGATTTTTAGGACACACGAGGAATCTGAAGGAGGGAAGAGAATTCTCCCTTCTCACAGTTCAACTAACAGAAACAGATTCTGGCTACAGTTACTTTCGGGAAGCAAAATGCCTTTTTTTCCCTCTCAGCAGGTGGTGTGTGTTCTTATGTCTTCCATGCCTGTCATCATAATGTATTTTTCACTGGATGACCCAAGGTTTGTCCTAGCATGTAACACTGAAGCCCGGATTTAGCTTATATGTGACTCAACCTGTGCTACATAGAGTGTGGTTAGTTATCAAGTCATCGGCTGAAATCTCATTGAATTGAGCCACATCCCTTAGCCTCCAGACCAGGAAGGCAAATCTCAATGGAACCAATGGCAGTGGAGGAGACAGTTTGATTTAACTGTGGGTAATCATTTTTAAACAACCAGGCTGTCCTCTCCTTTCCAAAATGACACCCAGAGTCGCTGACTCAGTGCAAAGGTGGTCACGTGTGTTAAGCATGTACCTGGAGTCCCTTTCTGGGAGAGAATACAATAAATAAATAACATTTTATTAGATGGTAACACAGATGATTTGCATATCCGGCTCATTCTTGAATACATGCACATATGCTTAGCAGTTGTTACACAAGCACTCACCTCCTGTGACATCACTAGTGTTGAGCCCTGTATTACTTCATAAGAGCCTGTCCTCTGTTCTGAGGTGTTGGGCCTAAAATCTCAAAAGAATGGGAAGCTGCTGACCTGTCAGCCCTAGCTATATGAAAAACAAAAATCAAGGATGAGCAACTTACAGTCTCGGAGTACTGCTTGGAGTGCAACTCCCATCAGCCCCAACATATCCTAAGGATCCTAGGAATCATGGTCCAATGCAATCTGGAGGGCTACATCCTTCCTCATCCTTGGCACAATAGTGCCTATGCACTGGCAGGAAGCAGTAGAGTTCTCTCCCTTCTCTTTCCCTTCCCAATGTTGTTTTTAGTTCTCCGTTACTTTCATTTCGGAACTACATTCAAGATTTTTAAGAGGTGACACCAGAGCATATAACAAGTCTAAGTGAATGTGCAAAGTTTGGTGAATGCAGCTGGGAACTGTACTCTACAGAGCAGTGCACATCCATTGCTAAAGATCACCACACCTAGAAAGATATATATTTAAGCACAAGCTTCCCCACTTAAGTTGTTGCACTTGCTGTCCCCATCTTAGCTCCAAACACAGGATTACATATAGCTGTGTTTTAGGTAACATTTTTAAGTAAAGACTTCACAGACGGCACAAAAGTGTTATACAATTTGGGCTCTGCTCTGTCCTTAGTTTTAATTGTGCTTCAATTTGGACTCCTCGGCAGCTACACACTGTACACTATGGATTCGGAATGTGGGAACAGACAAAATGCTTTACATGTTTTTCTCTCTCAATCTAGGGCCAAACACTTGTTAAGTTTCACCCAGGCTTCTTTAAGAATGCATTGTCATTTTCTGAATACTTCTTGGGTTTTGTTTCCCAATTACCAAATTTTTGGTTTTTTTAAAATCTTTACCTCAATCCATTAAACAACCCTACCTTTAAAAAAAAAGAAGAAGCTACAAGAGATGTTAGAGGGGAAGCACTTTTCTTGCAGCATTTTTTTTTGGGGGGTGGGACATAAATATTGCAACAGTGAAACTAGGTTAGCATTTTTCAAATTATTTGTTTACAGTATTAACCATCTAGCCTTTCCTTTCTGCAAGCAGAAGGATGCACGGACAGGTCTTTTTTCCATGATCTCATCACAAGAATCACAAAAGGTAAGAAAGCCAGAGAGATAGCGATGATCCCTGAGTTTGGCTTTGAACATGGAACCAGTATCCTATTACCTAAATCCAGAACAGAACAGTTGCTAGAATACCCCTCCTGGTCTGGCAGATTCCCTGTTGCGTGCCTGTTCTCGCACTGGTTGTGACAATGGTCGCATGACTGATCACAGATAGTAAGCCTTTTGGAGTGTGGAGAAACACTTACATGACTGCCCTTTTGCTGTACATTCAGTCAGTAGAATAGCAGCCTAGACCTCAATGTTAATGTTGCTTCCTATCCATTGTCCACCCATAGCTCTCAGGATAGGAAGCTTTGCCACAAGGTAGGAGGACCGTCTGATAATATTGGAAGTATTCATTGTAGTATATAGTGAATTAGGGTACACAAATATTACTAAAGTGCTGTAGAATACCCAAATTTCTTGAACTCTGGTTCCTAATTGCTAGGAGAGAAATGAACTGAGGAGTGTAAAGAGAAACTGTAAGGAACTTGAATCAAACCCTTTCTTCTTAGGTTATAAAATATCGATGTGGGTCAGTTATTATTTAGATCGCTGGTTCTTAACCTTGAGTTACTCAGGAGTTTTGGACTGCAACTCCCAGAAGCCTTCACCACCAGCTGTGCTGACTGGGGTTTCTGGGAGTTGCAGTTCAAATGCATCCGAGTAACAAAGGTTAAGAACCACTGATTTAGATTTTTTAAAAATGTGCACTGTATTTTGATACGAGTTGTGTCTGCAACACCACCCACAGATGGAAAGGCTACTTGTACGTAAAGCTTGGATTTGAACAGTATGTGCTGCACTGCTGGCAGATGTAGCTTAGTGAACTACGTGGTGACTTCCAGCAGTTCAGGAGATATATCTATGAAATGTATGTGAATATTTCATTCCATATTGTAAAATGTCAAAATAAAAATGGCATCAAGTTTGCATTTGTATTTGAATATATTAACTACTCCTGCACTGATTGGAAAAGTTGTCATTTGAAATAATGTCGTTTGAAATAATGAGATGTCTTCTTTTGTTTTGTTCAAGACAAGTAATCATAGCTGTA